ACACACACACACACATAACTACACACACACCCACACACACCCACACACACCCACACATACACACATGTACACACACACACACATGTACACACGCACACACACACATACACATACATGCATACATACACACACACAGACCCCACACACATACACACACACAGACCCCACACACATACACACATATACATACACACACACACATGTACACACGCACACACACACATACACACATACACACATACATATACACACACACATACACACATACATACACACACACAGAGAAACTCAATGCGCTGCGGACATCAACAAGTGACGAACGCCAAAAGATGGTGGAAGAGCATTCCAAACTGTTGCAGGAGATGGATCGCTCACGCAAGGCAATCTCCGATGATCTTGCGGATGCGAGGAGCGAATATGCAGTGCTACAGACCGAGCGTGATGGCTTGGTGGAACGTGTGCGCGTGCTGGAAGCCGAGGCTGTATGTGTGTCACATGCGATGTGCCTGTGTGTGTTATCAGATATGTATACGTGCGTGTTATCGGATATGTACCTGAGTGTGTTTTCTAATATGTATACGTGCGTGTTAACAGATATGTACACGTGCGTGTCGTCGAATGTGTCTGCGTGAGCCTGTGCACGCCTGCGTCTGAGCTGTGGGGTGTGTCTGTGTCGTTGGTCACCTACACCTGTGTTTCTCGGTATAAGTCCGTGGCGTGCATAACGAGTGAGTATACGCGTGTGTGTATTGTCGGATGTATCTGCGTGTGAGCTGTCGGGTGTGTCTGTGTTGTCATTCACCTACACCTGTGTGTCTCTGTATAAGTCCGGAGTGAGTATACACGTGTGTGTACAGCGCATGCTAATCAGCAGACGTCCATGTACGCATAACGGTGCGTCGGTGGACATATCAATCTGTACCGGTGTGTGTGCTGTAGCTACCTACCTCCACCCGGGAGTGCGAAAGGCACGTATTCGCTCTCTCTTTGTCATACGTATGGCTGGCCAACAGATACCAAGTGTTTTGTTTCTTCTCGTCTCTTCTCTGCACTTTCTGGGTGTTGCATGTTGTCATGGTAACGTCACGCGTGGGCACTCCATCCACTGTAATAGTAACGTCACGCATGCTCGCTCTTATAAGGGAGAATATATGAGTATATATCACAATGCAGCGTACTAAACGTATCTCTCTAATATATCACAATGCAGCGTACTGAATGTATCTTTGAATACATCACAATGCAGCGTACTAAACGTATCCCTCTGTTCTTACGCACTGTCAGGCCACGACCGCAGCTGTTGTGGAGGAAAATTGTGCGGCCATCGCGCAAGCCAAGGCAGACGCCGAGAGAGCACAGGCAAGTGCATGTGCTCATGTGTGATGAAGTGCGTTATAGCACAGACAAGTGCATGTGTTCATGTGTGGGTGGAGTATATGAAGTGCTTTATAGCACAGGTAAGTGCATGTGTTCATGTGTAGGTGGAGAATATGAAGTGCTTTATAGCACAGGCAAGTGCATGTGTTCATGTGTGGGTGGAGTATATGAAGTGCTTCATAGCACAGGCAAGTGCATGTGTTCATGTGTGGGTGCAGTATATGACGAGCTTTTCTGTACTACACCACCAGCTTACGTGTGCTGTAGTGGGTCGCTACCATCGTTGTGTTGTACGCCAGACGTAGCTGCGAAGGTTACGGTATCGTGTTATCATATGTGATACAGTGCACGCCACTTAGGTATGCATCTTGTTTGTTGCATACACAAACACTCTTATGATCCCGGGGGGTTGGTGAACGAGTCTCTAGCAAACCATCAAGCCCAACCCTCGGAGTTGGTAAACTCTCGTTTAGACCGGATAAATTACCGCGTAAGTACATGGGAATAGAATAGGGTCTGATGGCCAGGGTGTGATTTTTTCAATATCATCTGATGGCAGGGGTGTGATTGTTTCTATATCGTCTGATGGCCGGGGTGTGATTGTTTCTATATCACTAGGACGCATACGAGTCTGAAGTGGCGGTGCTTAGCCAGAAGGTAGACGACAGCCAGAGGAGAATAGCCGAGCTGAGAGCGACACACGAGGTGAGGTTATTTGGTTTAGGCCGGTTTGGTTTAGGTTGGGTTAGGTTGGCTTGGGTTGGTTTAGGTTGGTTTGGTTTGGTTTGGTTTGGTTTAGGTTGATTTGGTTTAGGTTGGGTTGGTTTAGGTTGGTTTGACTTAGGTTGGGTTGGCTTAGGTTGGTTTGGTTTAGGTTGGTTTGGCTTAGGTTGGTTTGGTTTAGGTTGGTTTGGTTTAGGTTGTTCGGTTGGTGTTGGTCCATTTATATCTGGATACATCATATTTGAACCCCCTCAGATGACAGGTGGAGTGTGTATGCGTGGTTAGGTTAGATTGGCTGTTGGTTACGTTCGTGATGTTATTTGACTTATTCGAGAGGACTCAATTACCAATTGATCTTTACGCAGGCGTTACGGGTAGCCAAAGAGAAGGATGATAATGCAAGGCGCTTGATTGAGAGGAAAAATATGGGACTGGTAAGCTACAGTGTACCGGCGATTGCAAAATCTCATATTGATACATATTTATACCTGTTTATATAATTTGCACACATTCACCGCCCCCCCCCCCCCCTCAAACACACACACACACACAC